CTAAACGATACCCATCCCTATGTGTGGTACACAGATTAGCATGTTGCATCACAGCAGCACGGTCACTGGTTCAAGCCCTGACTGGAGCCTCTCTGCGTGGCGTTTGGATGTCCTACCTGTACTTGTGTGGGTTTCCTCTTCTTCCCACATTCTAAAGACATGTTAGGTTAACTGGTGAGTGCAAATGAGATAAAGTGTATCGAATGAAGCACAGTATGAACTTATGGCATTAGTCACACGTGGCTTGTGGTCTAAAGAGCTTTGAGTGGTCGCTACAACAAGACAAGCACTTATATAAATATCAGCGCATTTCATCACAGGTACGTTCAAGGCTAGTTTCTGTCAGAACTCGGTCAGTCCTTCTTCCTCTCTGTGCCTTTCACTTCTCCTTTCCCGTTACCCACTAACACACATACTGGTCATCACCAGCGGCGTGCCATGCAGAAATAGCATCACCCCTCCTCCGCTCTCCTCCCCAGACATAAGACTGTCGTCCTGTCCCTGAACACAGGACGGGCCTTTTATTTTCCATCCCTCCTTGATTCTGACAGAAGAAGACAGGATAGTGCTTTTTCCCCTCCACCCTGCTCCTTGCAGCAGTGGCTACTACCATTACATGCCATTTGATTCCAGTTGCCAGCTCACTTGATCCTCAGTACCCTGCCTGCCAGCACCTCGGCACGCCTGCCCGATGCTAACAGAGGTGCTAATGCAGGTGTATTTCATGGGAGTCATCAGGCAGCTGTGAAACTCTTGTGCATGTGTGTTTGGGCCAAAGCACTTGGCATACTTTCCTGCTGCGGTACAGTGTGTAAGAAAGGTTCTCCTGGGTGACGTAGATACCTGCCATATTCTGCAAATGTCTGTGAAACTTTTAAACTTTGACTTTTTTTTCCACCGGTGCCTTGATATTCATTAAAGTTTTAAACCTTTCTAAGATTAGGTGAAATCAAAAAAAGAAAGAAATATCTCTAAAAAAATGTTCTTAAGGAAAGTTTTATGGAACTTTGCAGTTTTCAGTTGTGTAGTTGAAGGTATCACTACTTTATGGGAAAAGTGCAAATGGAAAATAATAATAATAACTCCACGCACTGGGTAGATCTCAAATATGTTCAGCCGATTAGAAAAGACATGCCACTGCCAGCCGTACAGTAGGCCACATTAACAGATAACAATAGAGAACATCCACATCAGAATATATGCAATTTTTACATGAATTCAGGCGAGTTTAAATCTCAAGGCTTAAATCTCAGGTAGTGCAGTCAAATCAAAAGAACAACATATAAATCTGAGACGCAAAATTTCACCGGGAAGGAGAAATTAAGTCAAATCAAGCTAAATAAATAAATTAAATTAATATACTCCATGTAAGAAAGTCAGATTCGTGTTATTCTGAGTTACAAGTGGAAAGAAATTTCAAATTCCCGCGCTGGGCCACACCGACTTCATCATCACGTACCATTAAGACTCCTCAGCTTTGATATTCTAATGTTTCCCACATGCAGCTGCTTAACCTTTGACAAAAAAATCTTGTCTCTGAGTTGCTTTGACACCAGCGATGGCAGAAAACTGCTCCCAGCTCTGGAGTAATAACACCCTCGGGATTTCTTAGCGCCTTTCCTTCTCTGTCAACACTCAGCAGCTGCCAGCGTGGCTCAAATATCCATCGGCTACCAGCACCGACGCTGCAATATGAACCAAAGCTGACTGGTCAACCAGAGCAGTGCCATAACAGGCCCTCAAATGGGGGAAAACGATACAGTCAGACCGCCCCTGGATTGGCTTTCTTCAACCCTTGCGGTTGTCTTAACGGCCTTGTGCACATTAGGTCATAGCTTGTAATCAAAACCTATTGAAAGTGTATTGTAAGGAAACTTTTTGTGGACAATGGAAAGACTGAATGTTGTTAATAATTGGTTCTGGCGATCAGATCCTACTTACAGGCAGAAAGCTGATCCGCTGCACAGTCGAGCGAAACATCACATGCCTGCGAGAACAGGAGATAAGAGAAGGAAGGGGGCAAAAGCACAAATAACAATAAGGAGAAAAAGCGAGAGAAGAAATGGATAAGGAAGTTTGTGATCGACGGCAGAGGAAAGGAGAGAGCAGCCTGGTGATTGCTCCTCCAACTTTGAGCTGCATGGAGGTGAGAGAGGGAACCAGAAAGCCGGATGAGGAGGAAGGATTTCGCGATCAAGGGATGATTCATGGCTTGTCTGCGCCGCTGTGATCTGAAAGTTAAAGAGTGGCTGTTTGTCGAGCGCTTACTTGCAGGGGATCTTCTCCACTGGTCTCGCTGTCACATTGTAGTCACATGGCGAAGTGTTTATGTGCTGGCAGAAGGAGAAAAAGAAGATAAAGATGGGTTTTTTTTAAAATATACACACGAAAGTATCACCCTAAGTTTGTTTTTGTTTTTTGAGGGGGGCACCTATTGTGCTTTAAGTAAAGTATGGATGATAGCTGGTTACATCCAAACAGACTTCCACAACAGAGCAGTGAATAAATATTGCTGAAGTAAATTACACCCCTAGGCTAGTGAAAGCAGAAGTCTATCATTTAAAAGTTTCTGCTCATAATGACTTCAGTCTCTATGGGGAGGTTCCCAGGTTTGACTCCAGGGCCTGAAATCTATACCTGCTAAACTTTACTGTTAGTATATGTGGCTGTAAAATAAAAGATTTTTCTCCTTTTTATTGTTTTAACAAATAACCATTTATTCTTCCACGCATCAATAACCTTAACTTGCTGTATTTATTGTTAGTTGCATAAGAGCCAGATTAGTTTGATCCTATTTTCTTGTGCTGCGTGGCACGAAGTGAATTCAGCTATGTGAAGGAAAACGTTTCCACTGGACTATATGCAGTCCTATGGAAAGCTAAGTAAAGCCTTGCTGCTTCTATTGGAATTAATGGGGCTGGTAATGTGGTCTAATGTCTAATCAGATGCATTTGA